ATGCATGCAGAAAAATGAGGCATGTCTTATTTGTGAATAGTTATTATAGTCCATGAATATATTAATGAAATAATTTACTGCTGAGACTGAGGGATGTGAAATTTGACAAGTGTTAAAACTCATTTTGCTTTAAGGAGGAGCTCCTCCTCAATTTTAAGGAACTAAACTTTTTTTACGGGTAAAATGTCTCGATTGACATTAATTAAGGATGAATAATCCTAGTGATAAAGCAGCAATCAATAGCCCTTATCCTCTTTATATAGTTTCCCTAAAGCTTGTTATCACTTTAGGTGGTACTGACTTTGTGTAAAGGAATTTCATTGTCAAATGAATTCGGTTTGATTTGTTCATGTCCCTAAAATTAATCGTTTAGAACTTCGCACTAAACGATTTCGAATTACCTTAATAAAAATTAGGTTTTGATCCCCAATCTTTGTGCATGAGAAAGTCATATCTATTGGACCCAAATGAAATAATTGAATAGAAGAAGTACTAGTTCTATATGTGTGTATGTCTCTCTCTCTCTATATATATATATACACACACAGACGGATGAAAGGTTAAAAGAATAGTTTAGAGCAATAATTTAGATTTAGTTTCCATGCAAAAGGTTCAATTCTTGAAAAAAGACGTTAAAAAGCAGCTCTACCCAAAGGTTTAAAAAAATGTATAGACTTGCATGGCCTCCATTTTCTTTTTCAACGAATAAAAAAGTTAATTTTAACTCACTTTAGAATTACATTAAAAGGAGAGAAGAACAAGAGTTGTCTTTCATCCACTATCTTTCTCCCTTTCCTTTCCTTTTTTTCTTATCTCTTTTTTCCTTTCCCCTCTTTTCTTTTTTTCTTTCTTTGTTAAAGACGTTCATTCATCTTCTACGTTAAAAAGAGATCCTTCTATAAACGTGTGAGAGGGACTTTATTCAAATAGTCATACATAAATAAGAGTATTTGATAGTATATTCTAAACACACACACATATATATATATACACTCTACAAACTCTTGCACATCAAGGTGTTCTTTTAATTTTTTATACAAACCATACTCTAAACAAATCTGAATTCTATGGACATGAATATTCGAACTTGGGTGTAAGGAGACGATGAATTAATCAACTGACTTAATCAACTGGCGTAATAACTAGCATTTGTTCTTGCTTAGCAAGTTAAAGACAATATAAACATTGATGATGGTGATGTTTCTACATGCATGATATGATATTTGGAGCCTAAGATTCCACTAATAACATACTTTTGAATCGGTGCCATATTATCAACCATGGCCGACCTCGCATGTCTTATAAAGATGGGACCCCAATTAAATAAGTTATAGTACAATCTAATCTATGTATGACCTAAACATGATTAGCCAAAAAAGTATGAGTCACCGAATGTCAAAAAAGAAAGACATATACCACATCATAATATGCACAGAAGAAAAGGGAATGTTAGAATGGTTGGTTTTTTTGTGTGATTTGCAAGTTAGAATAGAATAGAAAGAAAGAAAGAAAGAATTACAAGTAGAGGGGAACATAAAGGCTGTTGGATCACATGCACATCACATTCCTTTTTCATCTTCTCTTCTCTTCTTTTTATACTGTGGTGGCTCATGAACGTTCCTTCATAAAGAAAAGGTCTTTGAAAATTTTGGGCCCCGCAGGGCTCTCAAGGCTGCTGCTGCAAATTACGAATTAATTTTGCTTAAATATATACTTCCTCAATCCAAGGGATTCCCATGAGATGATGAATTAAGCTCATGTGGGGCCCTCCATCATCCTCACCATCATTTCATGCATATACAATAACAAGACCCACCTCTCTCTCTCTCTCTCTCTCTCTCTCAGAGTCTCACGTCCATTTACTTACACAAAGCAAAGTGCTTAAAGTGGCATTTTTTCTGCTTCTGATGCCAGCCAATAATGCATCATATAAAAATGGTAAGCCCCCCCACCCCCTTCTCATCATCGAAATCCGGTGAAATTTAATTATTTATATTCAAAATAGCCATATCCATATCCATATCGTAATCGATCATATGGATTCCTCATTGATCGATTGATTATTATGAAGCCATCACAAATTGATCATTGCTTGGCATTTGCATGTGCTAATTTTGTTTCATACAATTTTCTTTTACTTTCTTTTAATTACTACACATATATATTTCCATAATCATACAAATATTATTGCCAACTAATTATCCACTAAGGAAACCCTTTTTTGGCTGCTCAATCATGTCATCAGACGTAAAGTTTCTAAACGATCTGATACACAAATCATATTTTATCGTGACATAATATATATGTTACACCTAACTTATTGTCATATTATGTCCAATGGTCACCCTCATTTATAACATAAAATTGGAAAGATTAGCTCAGTTTTCTTTGTCGTTAATATTACAACCTTTCTTTGTGGTATGGAGATCTTCCCGATATCATTCAAGATGTTTTGCTAACAGATAGTACTATATAATTCGAAAAAGAAAAAAAGGAAGATAAGGCAAGGCATGCACAAAATGTGGTTATATTGATTGATTCACCATGCAAATCACACGCCTCAAGTTCAACGCATTGAAGAAGATAAATTAATGTTGATGAGCACTAGAGGTTCTAAGTAGGATCTGAAGAGCTTATGGACAGGGACGTGAAGTTAAGGTGGGTTTCTTCTATTTCTAGGACCACCAACATGTATATTATAAGCTACTGTTTGCCAAAAGTTGAAACCAACATTGGAACAACCTATGTCCATGTGACACACTCAAATTTGGCTTTTATTTGCAGAGAAGGGTGAAATTGTCTCACGTCCCTCCAAACACCATGGGATACGTACAAATATATGAGACAATCTCCTAATGCTTGTGGAACTTTGAACTGTAAAGTGTTCTATTTGGATGACTGATCGAATTGGACGTTGTCTTTTTTTTTTTTTTTCCTTCTTTCTTTTTCTAAAAAACAAAAAAATATTGAACAACTTTTCTTTTTTTTGGGGGTCTTGGCGGGGGCCATGCATGCACTCATATATTATTTGAAATTATATAGCATTCAACAATTTGGAGGAGAAGAAGAAGAAGTGTTTCTTACGCAGGAGATATGCGAACCTCTTTTTCCCTTGTGCAATTATCTGTCTCATTGGCATTGGGTGTATCGTATCTAGATAACGTTTGATTTAGACGGACCACAATGATCTAATAATGAAACTCAATTGTTAAACCTACTACTTTCTTCATAATTATTACCTTGTTTGAATTCTTTGCTGAAAACAAATTCCAACTCCAAATTTATAAAATCTCACACACCCAAATACAATGGCAAAAAAGGAAAAAAAAAGAAGAAGAAAAAAAAAGAAGGATATTATGTATTGAAGATATATATGGCGATCAGAAAAGCTCATGGATTCACTTTAGAATGAAATGGGATCGATGGAATAACTTTTGACTGTGAGAGAATATAAAGCTGGAGCCCCAAATATACTTTCACTAACATACGAACGTCTGGTGAAAAGAAGGCAAAGAGATACAAAGTGGAATGAAGCCATGAAAAGGCTGGGCAAAGTCCCCACAATAGAAACAAGAAATAAAAGAAAGTGAACCAAAATAAAATCCACAGCTTTATAGGGAATAAGGAGGAGGAGGGGTTGGAATGATTGAACTGATCAGGTAAAGTTTCAATCTTGATACTCTTCCTCAATTCAATAAATAAATAAATATGGAAATTAATTCATATGTAATAAACCCATCTAGGCTAATTCATTCATTCATTCACGGACTTTTAGGAAATTAAAAGAGAGAGAGAAAGAGAGAGAGAGGTCATGTTGATGTAGTTAATTAGGGAGAAAGAAAAAAAAGGCAAAAAAAAAAGTGCATGAGCTTGAGTATGACAGGACTTATAGTTCGGCTGGGGTTTGCGGTGGTGGAAGTGGAGGTGGAAATAATAATGATAATAGAAATAATAATAGCAATAATAATGGAGTTGCTAGTTGCAATTTGGTAGAGAGAAAGAGAGAGAGAGAGAGAGAGAGAGAGATAATAGTTTTACAATCATGGGGGAAGCATATTCACTTTCCTCTTTGTCATCACTTTCTAAGGCATGATTAGAAAAAAGTTGATCAATCTTCTCCCTCCCTCCACCAAAAGCAACTTCAATTTCCCTCCCTTCACTTTTCTCTAACACCAACCCAAAACTATTACCTTCCTCCCCAAGATTGATACCATATTATAATATTCGGGTGGAAAATTGTATTCATTGAATTTAAAGGTAAATTATTAGATCATGGGCTACTTTTCTTAGGCTAACTGGCTTGGCTCAGCTACTTTTCTTAATCTCCTTGTGGGTTGCGTATCATAGAAATCCAGCTACAAGGTTTCTTGGCCCTGTTTGGAGGGCTGGAAAGAAAAGAAATTAACAAGAAAATGGGCCAGACGTTATCATGTCCCATTGCAGGCCAGTTCAGTTGCTTTAATAGGCCCATGAACATGCTCTCCTCTAGCTCTTAACGGGTCGCCGTGTCAAACCAGTTCATACAACATTTTTTCAGTTCTCACCCACAAATGCGTTTAGCAGGTGGAGTATACAAGAGAGGTGTTAGAGCCTTGCACGTTACATACTGTATTGTTCAGCAAACATAGCTAATTGCTTGTACAAGAAAGCAACATAACAATTATCTCAACTCTCAAGTCATTGTGTCACAAGCAATAATTGACCAATCAAATGCAGCTACGTAATACAATCCTGCTCATACGGTTCATGAATCATGAATGGTTCACTTCACAGTTGGCTAACCACTCTCCAACTTTTCGAGTTCCTAAATTTGACACCCCATACAAGTTATTGCGCCAAAGAAGACCCAAATCAAATTACGTAACAATCTCAGACACAAATCAAATCATATATAGAAATGGCATGTCGCCAATTTACATTATGAAGAAAACTAGTATGCTTTAAACATCAGCAGCTACAGAATATCTAAGATTTAGGTTCAAAGGGGCCCTTTTGGGAGGTTCAAAAGGAAGGTTCAATTGATTGATGTTCGTTCAGTAAGTCGAAACAAAGTATTTCAGAATTCATATAGAAATAAACATATATAAGAGTATAAGAATATTTAGAATCATGCTACTATTCACAAAACGGCTAATGCCAATGCAGCTCTTTGCTCCTAAGCTCCATTTTTGGATGGCCAAATAATGGCAGTCTTGTGCTCAAGCGAGCAATCATCAGATGACAACAACAATGCATATGACTTAAGACATATGACTTCGACATGAAAATAAGAACTTTGACGCATAATGCGTTACAAATATACCTCCATGCCGATAAACTTAGAGGACTGACACAGAGGACAAAGGCTAAGCTTACTTTCACAATCTTTACATAGGCAAAGATGCTTACAAGGTAATAGAAGCATGCAGACTTCATTGACTCTGCAGGCCTTGCAAGTCATCATCTCTTTCACGTCATTGTTCTCCTTGCAAAACATATCAAAATTGAGGGTACGGCCATTGCAGCAAGAAGCTGTATCATCTACCTCACTGTCACCACATCCTTCTTTACTATCTCTACTTTGAGCATATACATGCTGAAGACTGAACCTTAGAGATGATATCATGTTTTCGTTGCGCCTGGCTAGTTGTTGCCAAGCACCTGCTTCAACAGTCAACTGTTCCATTCGTTCTTCAAGCTCCATATTCTTCTTGTTAATGCTCTCCACTTCTGCTTCTTTCTCTCGCAGCTTCTGAAGGACTTTTTCTTCTACAACCGAGAGAGTCTGAAGTTGGGTAGCTTGGACCTTCTCCAGGATATTTTGCCGCAATCGGTCACCCTATAAATAGGAAAAAAGATATTTAAATTTAGTTCAGAAGAATTATAAAAATGTTGTCGTTCCTAGTAAGTAAACACGTGCACATGAAAAGCAACCACCAGAAAGCAATGGTGACCCACAGCAAGCCAAAAGTGAAAGGGCCAACACAGAAATCCCAGAGAGATTCCTCAAGGAAAAAAGAAGTTGCAAGATTTACTAGAATAAGAAAACTACATCTTTATCCATTTCAATAACTTATTTCTTGCCAAAACAACAGCTGTCAACCCTCAAGCATCGAGAAGTAAAAAAGAAACATACATCCAAACTCTCTGGGAGTATCTCCCACACAAGCAACATAAATATAGCATAACGTAGTTCCCAAACCATCCTAAAAGATGGCATCGAAGTGAGACAGACAAAACCCCCCACAAGGAATCTAACAAGCAAAAGAGGACTTAACGATGAACATACAGAACTAAACTTTCCTTCACACCATCACATCTTCTACGTCCATAAGCACCATTGGCAACAAATCATCTTTGAAGGACTCACCAGTATAAATAGACATTAACCACAAGGATCCTCCATCAAAATGGAATACTTGCAATATTAGACAAATATCAGGTTTTTGCAAAATCTAGCTCAGTTTAATTAATTCAGCCTCCCATTGTTAAATTAATGATTCCAATTTATTCAATACAGTTCACAGTTGGATTGTATCTACATCGGTGCAAAGGAAGAATCAAAATTATCAAACTACGGTTGGGCAAAGATATTTATTATTAAAAGATCTGCCATAAATTTAGTAACACATGGCAGATCTTTTGGTTATATATATCGTGACGAACATCATACTCCAAATGGACACAAACATTATCCGTGATGTTCAACCGTCAAATGTATTTGATAAGTTGGATAATCTTTTGAGTAGCATCTTGAATTGAATTACATGACACAGACTCTAATCATAATGACCTTAAATGTAAAAAGACATTCCATAACTGCAGATTAGATTATTATGCTACACCTATATGCTTTGGGTTTTGAACACTGTTGAAATATTACTTAGCCAATAGGATTTAGATTAAACTTAACAACGTATCACACCATACATATCATTAATTGAAAATCAATCCATGCTTTTAAAGAATGAAATCATTCGAAACGAAATCCGTGAAACTGCGATAAAAACTTTAGATGTTCAAACCAACACATAACCCAACAAACATGACATGATCAGGCAAACAATGACACAATCCCACTATAAACATATATGAAACTGGGAGACCAGTTATGAGCAGATTTAGTAAACCATGCTCTTATAAACACTAAATAGTAAATCCTTTTGCAACCATGTAAATCAGTTCCTACAATATATTCAACAAAGCAACAAGATAAGGTCTTTGCAAAAGAAACCAGACCTGAGCCTTGAGGAACCTATCAATCTCAGCATCCTGTCGTTGTAGCTCATGATCCAGGTCATCCCCGATGAGTGACAGCAATGCCGAGTCCCCGGTAGAAGCCATTCTAGTATTGTCAAGGGACAAACCCAAGCCCGTGGAGACTGATCTCGGTTGCAGTAACTCAACAGACGATATCTGTGAGTTGTTCTCCAAGAAATCCTGTTCCTTGAGTTTTTTCCTTTTGGATTCGAAGCCATATTGCCATTGCAAATCAGCTCCATTATCACTGCCGTCTGTTGCAGCGACTGGACCGGGTGCAAACCCTACTACATGAACTAAAAAAATACCGCTAATTTTAGGTAATGTTGCACAAGCTGAAGGTTAAAGAAAAGATATAAGGCCCTTTAAATTTAGCTCAAATTCGCAGCAAGAAGATCACTTTTTCAATGAATTTTCAATTTCTGAGCTATAGTTTGTTACAAATTCTCGGCAGCCAAACGGAGAATATAATAAAAAGAAAAAAAGAAAAAAGAAAAGAGGAGGAAAGAGAAATTACAGGGTGGAACATAAGGGGGATGCTGCGAGTGATCTTGTAAAGTGCTGGGGTCGTAATAGGCCATCGCCGGCGTCATATGACCGTCGATTGTGTACAAATTTCTACAACAAAAATGTGAAGAAAAAAAAAGAAGCTTATAAAAAAAGAAATGGAAAAATTATTATTAGAGGAATTTGAAGAAGAAGAAGAAAATTACCTGAAAGACTTAGAAGATTGTTGTTGTTGTTGGGGTTGGTAGTGCTGTTGAAAGTGGTGTTGAGGAAGAGCCATAACGCATGAAGCTGAGAGAGTCTGAGACACGCACAAATTTCAGAATTAAATTGATCCTCCTGAGGCAGAGAGAGAGAGAGAGAGAGAGAGAGAGAAGGGGAGGGAGGGGGTTACTTGTGTCATATGCACAACTGGCGAGCTGGCCGTGGGAAGATTCCGTCTTTAATTTTTATCGCTTGTCCTCATTAATATTTTTATTATTTATCATCAATTTGCAATTCGTGGGCAACTTCGTAAATTTAGCACACTTTACCAGCGAGGGGAAGGACCTTTCGCGGTAGTTGACTTGACTCCTACATTAGTTGGACCTCTGTACCGGGCTGGCGGTCCAATATGGGCGACTCATTCATGGGCCTGATAATCGTTTTCCAGCCCGGTCCATGTTTTGCACCCACAAAAGGTATAAAACTTAGTTCTATTCTATAAATTATCATTATTTTTTAATGAAATTTGATTTAGTGAGACGGGGTTGTAGCTCAAGTGATTAAGAATAGTTATCCATGCACTTGAGGTTATGTATTCGAATCCCCTTCCCCCAATGTCGGTGTGATAGTAAAAATCAAAAGTTTCTCTTGGGAATGGGCATGGACAATGTCTATTGCAATGACTAGTTTCATCATGGATTTTTGACTTAATTTGTCAAACACATGATTTGATAAATAAATGTGGTAGATCAGTATTCAGCGGATAGAAAATGCTGGCCAGTTTTCGGTGCCAAAATTCGGCGTACCATTATCACCACATGGTGGAGATGCTTTTGAAACCCTTTGCACTCGCTATAAATCTTATTATATATTTCATTATATAAAAGTTTAAAACAAAACAATTATCTAATCACAATTACAGAACCACCTAACCCTAATGAATGAGATTTGCATTATTGAGAATAAATATATAATTTCTTACTTTTACAAAAGAAAAAGAAAAAGAAAAGAAATATAAATAAACAAGAGAGAAGGTAATATGACTACCCAATATCGTAAAAATACAACCTGTAATCAACACTCTCCGGGCACTCGGGCAGCCCAAAAGGCCCAAAACCGCGTTTTCTCACTCTCTGCCCGGTATGCCCGTACAACTCTGGAACTTGCCCGCTGAGTTGGCCACTACTTGTTGTTTTCTTTCAGTCTTCAACGAAAAGAAACAAAGAAAGAATAAAAAATTATAATTTATGTGCGCCTCCTCCTTTTCTGTCAATCAACTAGTGGTGCAATTCTTGAGCGAGATTGGAACGTTGAGCTTTTTGGGATCGAAAGTTACAGAACACTGAATTCGCCTGTTGAATTTTGGCTTCACCAGCTTGCCCAACACGTAGGCTCGAGATCGAATCACGAAGTTCAATTGCAGAGGCACTGGCAGCGCCGTCGTCCCTGTTGAGGTGCTCATGCTCGCGCCACTGCCATACAGCGGAATTTTATTGCCGATCACTGACACAGAGATCGATCTCTGGCTCTTTCTCGACTGATAAAACTTTTTAATCTGCAGAACCCAATTGAGATTAACAATGCAATTGATGAAAGTTCAAAACGTTTTTGCTTTTAGCGATGGAAACTGAGAGTCGATGGACTTACAGTTCCAGAGGCTATGGTGATTTGGGAGTAGGATAGATCTAGGGGTTTTGGCGAGACGTGCATTCCGAAGAATGTGCCAGTGTTGCGAAATGTGAACTTCACTGTCGAATTGACTGAGATCATATCAGTGGCCACACCAGTAGCATCCGAGCCAGCTTGAATCTTGAACTGTTCGAACGTAACACTCTGCAATTAAACAAAATTAACGCGAATTAGTAACGATCCAGGAATTCAATTATCGAAATGGAGCTGCAGGACGAGATAATCCAACCAACCTTCATGGTGATCTTGGGTTTCATGGGCTTACTGGCACCCCAGAGAATCAGAGAGAACATAGAGAACAGGAGGAAGAAGCCGAGGACGAAAGCGGGAAAATAGCAGCGGCGAGGAAAGCCCTTGGACCCCTCTTCGCCTTCCAGAAGGCCTTCCTCTTCGATCACGGCCTGCTCCTTCCACGGCTTCTGACCCTTCCGGTGTTGGCGCGACCCGTCGTTGGGGTTGATCTTTCTGGATCCGGGTTTCAGGGACCCGGAGAAGCGGGTGGAGGAGGACTCGCGGGAGTGGCGGCCGACGGAGGAGTGAGAGTGGGGCGGGGAGCCGACGGGGCTGAGCACGGGGGTGGACTGAAACGACGTCGTGGTCTTCTCGCCGTCGTGCGAGTCACGTGAGGGGCTCTGGACGTAGTAGACTGGGCGGCGCGGAGATCTGGTGGGGGACGACGCCGCGAGGCTCGTGACCTCCGAGTCGGTCTTGGCGTGCATTGTGTTTGTTTGGGTCGTCGTCTTCAATTGCCGTGCTGTAATGGAGGGGGGTGCTCTGAAAAAGGAGAGTGTAGATTGGGGGGGTATGATTAGGATTTAAGAACGGGGGGTTTGAGTTAAGGTGGGGAGTTGGAGTAATATTATACCTTACTGAAATGGAGAGGAAGACAAAAGTGCTGATTTTAATTTTTAATTAGTGGGTAAATGTTTGTGCTTGTGTTTGGTGGGTGTGTGTGGGAGAAAAGTTTTGGGTAGACGAAACAGCGAGGAACTTAATTAACTGACAGACATATCACAGTTGGCACCGCGCGCCTATGATGCCAGATTAAATATTAAGTCTATGTTATTATAAATCGATAAATTAAAATAAATATAAATATATGTAATTAATATCTAACCCACATTTACAATGCCCTTAACCAACCCGTCTAACCTTTGTTAAATTGAGAAGTCTTATGTAGTTGGTGTTATTTATGTGAAAGCTTTGTTAAACAGAAAATTAGAATGTAAATGTGGGCTCCATATAAACATGTGAATCCATGTGAAGAAAAACAAGTCCTGGTGCATATATATTTGTTATAATATGCTCAAGAGATGTAATGCGTCCGCGGTAGCTAACAAAGGTGATCTAATCCATGCGTTATATTTGTTATTTATTGAGTTATTGTTTGTATGGGAAATTTAATTTAGACTTGAAAAATGTTTCAACGTATAATAAAGGACCATTTGGTTCGCGAATTAAATTTTGTGGAAGTGAACTTCTCATGTTTAATTCAACGAGAAGGGAATGAAGGATGTAATCCTACTTAACAGTTATGTCTAAGAGGCCATTTTTAAGACCATCTCCAACTAAGGCCCAATATCCAATTGAGATTTAATCGGGCTTAACATTTAGAAAACCTACACACATAAATATAATAGAAATTTAGTTATATACTCAATTTTAGACATAGTCTTATAAAGAAACCATATACTATTTAAAAACTATAAACATACCCAAAAAAAACCCCAAAATTGACAGTTGTTATTTTTTTTTTTAAATTTAATAGCTGTTTTTTAGTTTATTTGTGTGTGTTAAATACCTATATTGTCATTGTATTATGGATTTGAGAGAGAAAAATCTGATCTGCCCAGATCTGCTAAAAAAATATATCTGCACAGATCTGCCAAAAACCCAGATCTGCAAAAAAACCAAATCTGCCAAAAAACCCAAATTAGATTTATTTTCTCTTTTCTTATTGGTGCTTTCTCTAGTGTTGGAGCAAGATAAGCTTCTATTAAAGCTCAATCTCAGGTCCAACTATATTCTTCATCTTTAATATACAATTTTCAATATTTCACCTTCGATTTCTTGTTCTAAATTCATGCTTCTATTGATATTTTTTTTTTCTTCGGATTGTTCAAGACCTCGAACGAACCTTGATCAAATGCTCTTAGCTCTACTCCTCTTCGTCATGTTGTCGTCGTCGTTGTTGTCATCATTGTCGTCGTCATTGTTTGATTTGGACTTGAGATTTTTGATCTTTTGCTTCAATTATTTGTTTCTCTTCGGATTTTAGTTGAATTTCAAAATGAATTTTAAGATTTGATGATCGATTTATCTTTTATTACTATTTCAGTTATGAATCTTATTTTTGTTTAACAATGTACTTCTATGACAGAGTATTAACAATGTATTTCTATTACAGAGTATTAATAACGTACTTCTATGACATAATAGTATTAACAATTTGGGCTCAACTTGTTTTGAGTTGGTCTGATTTGTTCTTTTTCATCTTTTCTTTGTTGGACATGTATTAGAAATAGCAACATAACAAGCATTAATCAACATGATAACAAACTAGCAGTGTTATTACCCTAGACTGGAACTTTACAGGGTTAGACATGCATTAAAAATAGGATGTTATAGGAAACTAGCAGTGTTATTATCCTAAACTGGAACATTACATGGGGTAGACATGCATTAGAAATAGGATTTCATAAGAAGCTAACAATGTTATCACCCTAAACTGGAACATTACAGGGGGTAGACATGCATTATAAATAGGATTTTATAGGAAACTAGCAGTATTATTACCCTAGACTGGAACATTACAGCAATTAATCAACATAACAGTAAATTAGCAATGTTATTACCCTATTATTACCTTAGACTGGAACATTACAGCTATTAATCAACATGACAGTAAACTAGCAATGTTATTACCTTAGACTAAAACATTATAAAGGTATACATGCATTAGAAATAGAATGTCATAGGAAATTAGAAGTGTTATTACCATAGACTGGAACATTACAGGGGTAGACATACATTAGAAATAGGATGTCATAGGAAAATAGAAGTGTTATTACCTTAGAATATTACAGTCATTAATCAACATGACAACAAACTAGCAGTGTTATTACCCTAGACCAGAGGCGAAGCCACACTGGGACCAGTGTGGTCACGGACCCCCACTCAAGTTTTTATATATTTTAAAAGTAATATACTGTTATTTATTTCTATATGCATATTATTTCAAATACTTAACGTTTTGATATGTACCCACATATATTGTGGCGGATCTATTAAGGCACAATGAGGTGCTTCAAATTGCTTCTTTGCTCAGTTGGTGGGGGTACACTCCAACTGTATAGATTACCTTATTTCAATTTTTAGCATTTAAGTAAATGTCTTTGTCTTATTACTTTCATTTATTTTTATATTGCTCAATTTACTTAAGTTTACAATGTAAATAAGGAAGTACTCCCTATTTGATTCAAATAAAAATACTAGAAAATCAAATTCCCACCAAATCAAAATATGAAAAATCGGTTTTAGTGCAAAATACGATTTATG